CAGCACAAATTCGAGCGGTGTGCAGACAAATGGCGATGCTCTGCCTGCCTCATCATCGTCGATGCTTGCCAGGTTATTCCAGCCGCCGCCACGGTCGAGGGGTCCCCGTGTGATCAGTGGCAAGGCGATACACCCCTCCCACACGTTGGCCACCATCCCCAAGTGGCAAATGTTCTTCTGCGTGAAGTGCGGCCATACGGCCACACACCAGGTCAAAAGCTTACAGTTCCCTTGCCCTCTCACCCACCAAGTGAGAGAGCGCAGGGCCCTGGGACCCACTGGCAAAGGCCTCGAAAACCTCAGCAGGATCAGGCGAGGCCTCCATCCGTCCAGATCGGGTCCCAGCAAGTCTGTTCTAGAGGCTATGCATGTTTCGGCAGCCGAAGCCGCGATCGTTTCTCACGCGGCTGGCGCTGCCTCTGAGTAAATTGTGAGGCCAGGGGGGCCTGTCGCGGTGTGCCGTGGGATGTCGCCCCCCACGGCTCTCCGAGAAATTCTGGATGGCCCCCCTGGCGTCTCTGGGTTCCCGAACGGACTACGTCCGATTGCTCCACTCCACTCCTCCTCATCCTCCTCCTCCTCCAGTTCCTCCTCAAGTTCCTTCTCCTCCCCATCCTCCTCCTCCTCCTCCGCCTCCCCCTGGGCAACCAGGAGGCGGTTCCTTTCCTACTTATTCTCGTCTCCCCACCCCACTCCTCCTCCTCCTCCTCGTCCTCCTCCGCCTCCTCCTCCTTTCCTTATACATAATTCCTTCCTGTCGCACCCCGAGGCCAGTGCTTAACATCATTTATGGCCCCGGAGTTTCAAACTTGGCAACAACTTCACAGATTGATGGCGATCCGTTTTCAAAATGTGGCTCTCGCCTTAGCGCCGCGCGCATTCGTTTCAAACATCTGCACGAGCTTCACGGATTGAGGGCGACCCGTTTTCAAAATGTGGTTATCGCTTTGGCGCCGCGCACATTCGTTTAAACATGTGCCAGAGCTTCACGGATTGAGGCGAACCCGTTTTCAAAATGTGGTTATCGCCTTAACGTTGCGCACATTCGCTTTAAACATATGCAAAAAATCAACGGATTGAGGGCAGCTCTTTTTCAACATGTGGTTCCCGCATTAGTGCAGCGCACATTTGTCAATACAAGTTGCAAGAGTTTCACTGAGCCCCATGCTCCAAGTAGCAGAAATGGTGCTTTGGAAGGACTCAGGATATTGACTGAGGGCCAACAGTTACGTTCATTCGCGGTACTGACGTCCCAAGAACGGCGTCTTGGCAGGATTCAGGACTGTAAACGCAACAGTCACGTTGATCCATGGCGTTGGAATCCCGAGAACAATGTTTTGGCATGCTTCAGGGTCTTCGAAGGGTTGTCTTCCAACGGGGCAGTTCCCTCAATGGAAATGAACCGTTGTAAGGGGCCTATGAAGAGGAAGTTTGGAGGGAGGGTTTGTTCCAACATCGTTGATGACCCTTGGGTTTACACTGATCCTCCTCCCCCTCCTCCCCCTCCTCCTCCTCCTTCTCCTCATCTTCATCCCCATCCTCCTTCTTCTCCGCCTCCTCCTCGGGCCCTCTTGGGCTATCTTGGGGCACTTCTGGGGCTCTGTTGGACCGTCTTGGGGCCATGTTGAGACCTCAACAGCCCATCGGGAACAAGAAGGCGAGAAGGCAAACGTCTTGGGCCCTCGACGGGCCGCGGGACCGGCAACAAAAACGACGCAGGGTGGAAAGCCGCTCCCAGAGAATGTGTGTCGAGACGTGTAGGTGTCGACTTCGAGGGCCGATTCTGCACTCCATGGTGCAAAGGAGGCAGCGTCAGGGATGGCGGCAGAGGACAAGGGCGATGCCGGACGCGGCGAGAGCGCACCCTACCCGTGGCCTCCCGCCGCTTGCTGCCCCCCCCCAGAAGCGGCAGTTCTGGCCATGCTGCACGACTCTGTTGGTTATCCGCGGGCCGAAGGCAATCCCGCGCGCGGAAGAGGGAGGAGGACGAGCAGAGGGGCGCGGATGTGCAGATAGCGGAGGGGGAGAGGTGGATAGGGGAACGAAGAATGACATAAACATAAAAAATCAGAGGTCCGCGCGGATTTCTCGGATCCGCGCTGGGGCCCCCTCCTTGGCACGCGCAGCGGGCCAGGGGCGGCGCCGGAGGCGCCGACAGGGGGGCCCCAGCGCGGATCCGAGAAGTCCGCGCGGACCTCAGAGTTTTTATGTTTATGTCATCCGTCGTCCCCCTTAGTGGAGGCATGCAGGGATGGAGGGTGGCAGGAGGGAGGGGCGGGGTACCTGACGCTTGGAGGGGTGCGGCAGGGAAGGAGAGGAATGAGTGAGTGAGTGTAGAGCAGGAGGGAGACAGGGGAGGGAGGGAGGGACGAAGGGGGAGGGACGAAGACGGGGATGGGGAGGGAGGAAAGGAGGGAGGGAGAAGACGGGCGGGAAGGAGGGAGGGATGAAGGGAGGGAGTCGAACTGAAGACGAGGGAACATGTGGAAGACTGGCGGGT